TGAGTATTAATATAATTATTTGTTAGTCTAGTTGCCTAGACTTGTCTAGCCTTGTGAACACTGACTACTATGATTTGTCATGTTAAATATACTGCTAACAGAGTGACATTTTATTCTGACTGAACAAGAAGCTGTGATGAGGCCATGGTTGAATGAGAATGAGATATAAATGGAGCTCCAAGAGTAAGAGACCAGCTAAGAGAGGACTCAGCACTAAAAGGGATCGAAGAGCAGAGAGTAAAGCAGTACAGAGCAACTTACATTTTCATCAAAAAGAAACTCTCGCAATAAATTGCCCACACATTTTTATAAAAGTAATTCTTGTCAACTTCTATTTCAAATGGTATGTGTGTGTTCTCAACACACCCTTGGTTAAGGGCTCCTGTTGCAAGTCATGCTCTTATAACAAAGGTGCTTCATGTTAGGTGTTTCATTAAACTCTTAACTAGACGAGGGTTTGAATGGAGGAATCATAATCACAACCTTTTTTCTTGCTAACAACCTTGCCTCAAATCGTCAATTATGAATCCCACTTTCTTACTCTAAAATGATAGTAAAGATTGAGTCTCCAGGTAACAGCCTACATTTCCGATAATTACAAGAATATAATAATTCATTTGGGAAAGACTGAATAAGCTCCTAGTTTATTCTAGATGTTCTACTAGGTCCTATAATAAAAGGAGATTCCTACTGAGGGGCTCCTAATCCAGTGCTACCTGCTTTCAGAATCCTAAGAGTCGCTTCAGCAGTAGAAAGACAAAAAGGTGTATTACCCAAGCACACTGTTCATGCCTGGAAAGCCCAACCTTGAGTCTCATCTCAATTAATTACAGGCTTTCTGATACCTCACTTACTTTATAAGTAATATGGGGAAATAATAATCTCTGTATTACACAAGATTGTTGTAAGCATCATGTGACAAGAATGAGTTAAAACATCCTGTAAATTGTTAAACCTTAAGGTGTATAACTAAGAGTGTGTGTATGGACGCACATATTTGTTTGTGTTTAGTTACTTAGTTATATATACAGACAAGATCTGACAATTAATTTTTAAGCTTACCCTAGAAAAAGTGCTACCTACTTCATGGCTGAATATCACTATGGTCACCTTCAAAATCCTTCCCCTTGACCATCTGGTGACCATAATGATATTCAGCCATGAGGTGCACATATATAGCACTTTTTCTGGGAAGAATTTGCAAACTTAAGTGTCAGATCACGTGTGATGACAGCTCTAATGGCCATCTCAGATTGTTACAAGAGATTTGCAAAATTCCTCTGAAGGGTGGATGAGGCGCTGAGTCAGTGCATAGCTTCCCTAGGGGAGTATCTCAAAGGAGTATAGTGATATTCCACAGTGAGGCATGTAGCACTCTTTCTAGAACAAGTTTGTGAACTTAATTATCCCATCTTGCAATGAAGTAACACTACAGACTGTTTTACAGCGTCAATTGTGGATGCCATCCTGTTGTTAAGTGCCCCCCAAATTTTATTGTATTTAATTTATATTATAAATGAGAGAGAAAGTGAATGTGGCTATAAAATCATATCCATATCTATCTATCTGTCTATCTATCTGTCTGTCTATCTATCTATCTATCTATCCACACACACACACACACACACACATGTTTTATAATATAAAGTGCAAAAGAAATCAATATAAGCAGCAGGACAGTTCACTTACTTTGATCCACACCACGGTTGCATTCCTGCTGGCAGATATAGTGCATGATACAGGCAGGGTGTCACCAATCTGCTTGGTCACTTCCCCACTTGGGTTTAAGGACAAATCCAAATCTGTGAAGCAGAAAATGTGCTTTAAATACAAATTCCAAGAGTGTAAGACATAAAAATATTTTGGAAAAGAAAAAAGAAAAAAGTCCTTCTTGACTGCATTTGAAAATTCAGAACTGATTTATAAGACTGAAATAGGTGGACTGTAGCATAATCGGCCTACCCTTTCAAATCAGCTCTGAGGACCAGTTAGGATAAGTGATTGGTCAATCTAATTGATTAATCGCTTATTTGCAGTTAACATGATTGATGTTTTGAGGGCATATAAATATTCCCCTATGGTATACCACCTCAAGAAAAAAAATCTTAAATCACTTCTGGAGGAAAATAAAGAAAGATGATGACTAAGTAATATGGTAAGAGGAGTGTAAGGCATAAATGTTGGAAAATCAAACATATTTAAACAGCAGGTGATAAACTGAAAAACTGTGAGGCAGTCTATATGCTTCCCCCAAGGAAATTGACTATAGAAGCAGATATATTTTTTAAAAAAATGCGATTCCATTTCTCATGCAATTGATATTTTAAATAAGATCTATTGTTAGGTACACAGTCAGCAGAAATCACTTCTTACAGAGTATAAATGCATCCGAGGCTACATAATCCTTCAGACGGAAACTAATTTCTATAAAAATCTTGCTGTCATAGTACAATCTATTTAAGGCAAATCCAATCCAATTGAACAAACATTTACTGTACAGCTACTATGTTCCGAGCACTCACTGGGGAGCGGGGGGGGGGTGGGGGGCTGCCGAGGTGAATAATGAGCTTACAATTTAATGAGATAGAGTACTATGCACTCAACTGACAATAATACATCACCCATGAGATCAGGACCTAGCAGCAAACCTGCTACACTTAGGGACTCAGTAAGTATTTGTTGAAGACTAAAGACAGGCTACAAATGGAAGTACAAACAAAGACTTAAGGGAGTATAGCGAAAGAGCCAAACCGGGTTTTGAGGATGCAGCTGTAGGAGGCTCTGTATGTTTAAGACCCCTGATGGTCTTAAAACCATAAAAGGAGAATTTGGGGAAACTTCTGCCCTGTAAGCAAAGGCAAGGAGGGGACAGAGGCTTGGCACATTCCCCAGTGGTGTGTGACTTGGTAGGAATGGTGAGAACTCACGGATTGGAAACCTATACAATTATTTGAGGCCCTAGTGCAAAGGTCCATGCATGGAGCTGGGTCTTGGCATTGCACTCCATGTTTCTCCTTAATTTTACGTGTTATTGCCTGCAGCCATTATTTTTCCTTATAATCATTGTGAGTCCATGATAGTTGTATGACATTAGAGAGTCTATGTTATAGTTGGATACAGGCATACAGTGTGAACAAGGCAAATCAGGACTATTGGGGGTATCTATCACCTCAGGCATTTATGCAAACATTTTTCATGTTTGCCTTTCTTGTTAGACTGCAAGTACCATGAGAGTGGTGACCATGACTTGTTTTGTCACTGCTGCACTCACAGCGCCAACCCCCGGGCAGGTTCTCAAGCACTCTTGCTAAGTGAATGAAGGGAAGCAGTGTTCTTTTACAGTTTCCCGTCAATATTAAACATGCATCATCACAGACAGAAGTGGAGGGTCCTCAGAATATTTGCTTGAATTATCTTCAGGTAATTAGAAGCTTTTATTTCCTGAATAGGTAATTTGCCAGTGAGAAGACAAATGATTTTAAAGGATAATTAGGAACTTGAAAAGTTGTGATAAAAAATCTACATGTGCGTGTATTGGCAAAAGAATACAGTGGTTTCTTCAGCAAAGGGGCTGAATTTGTAGGCTGGGAATCTTTAGGCGAGGTATATTCTGCAAACACGTACAGGAATGGGATTGGGTTTCTCTACTCCCTTCTTTCAGTTGTCTATGGAAAGGATACACATCTTGACTTGGGAAATTAAATAAGCTATCAAAGATGAATGGACAAAACTAAGATTTTATGCTTTTTTGTAATTTAGACTCAAATGCTGATTCACTTGCAATACTTTTTTTCAGTTTTTGGAAGAGCAACGGAGCCTTAAAACCTAATGTTACAATCTACCCATAAAAATCAAAACGCATTTAAATCTAATTAAATGCACCACCATCTGATTAAACTGTTACACATTTTGATTAATTTCCCCCCATAATAGCTGATCATCTAGGTATTATGCGGTTTCCACCCAGTTTTTGGCTTTGTTATTCTGCTCTCTAACCCTCCTGCCTGATCTAGAAGAAATACAAATAAGACTCCCCCCCTTTTTTTAGAATTCTGTGTGCCTAATATCTCTTAAGCATCAGCACATCATACCATTGCTGGGCACTGCCTATTGGTTATTAGCCCAAAGATGTCACGAACAGTGACATCAGAGCGCTGCCCCACAGGCAATTCTATCTGTTGGCTATAGTCCCTCACTTCATTATTTTATTTTTGTTCATGGAACAGGCTTGAATAAATGGTCCCATGACCAACTGGTCCTCAAAGGAAAAGTGGCACTATTGTTACACTGAGAGGTCACTGCTTTTCCTCTAACTATCCCCTGACGGCAGAGACACTGAAAACCACACGCCATAAATATGGAACAAATAGAGAAATGGCCCAACTATAAACATTCCTTAACAGCCCACTGTCTTCACAGGGCTCCTGAGGGTACACTTCAAACAAACATTCAAAAGCAACTATCTGGCTGTTTTATTCCCCAGAGTACCCCCTTGGATCACCCTCAAAGTTTCTGCTCCCTTTTCACATGTTTTTTAAACATTATGGCTAGAGTGAAAGATTTAGAACCTAGAGTTCCAGGCAATGTCTAACACCTCTTGCTAGTCCATGGGGTTATTGAAGACCATGTCTGGAGAAAACCTTAATGAAGATATTCCTGGGTGCAAAGTACTTGTTAGAAAGTTTCTTCTATACTTTGAAGCAAGATGGACATTTGCCCAAAGCATACTGTGAACTCTATTTTCACCAAGGTTTAGTGTGGACTAGTTTGTATCAGGTACCTCAATAATATGGATTGTCATGAATACACAATAAAGAACTGAAGTTAAGGGATTGTTTTCTAAGTAACTGTTTTTTGATCACACTGAGTATCTGGAGATCAAAAGTAGATTAAAAGTTAATAAAAAGGTATGTTCAAAGCTATTCTGAAAAGATTTTGTTTCCAGAAATTTTCTATCCTTCTAGCCAGAGTAAATTCAGTCACTAAGTAACTTTTAATGGTCTCTACTTCCTCAGAGTCTAGGGTCACTTTCTGTTGCCTGGGTTAGGGTAATAATATTATACTGTAATAAAAAAAGTAATGGAAATGATACTTAATCCATATTTTTCTAGGTCAGCCAGAAACTTCATGAATGTCAAGAATAACTAGATAGGTCTTAAATACATAATTTTTTAATGATCCACTTGGATACTATTTATCCAAACCAATCTTATTATTTGTCCATTATTTATACACAAATGGAAGACATTTAGAAAGAAGATGGAAGGTTACCATTGCCAAAAGTTGTGTTTCTCATATCCATGCAAAGTTTTAACATGGCTTTGAAATTTTGAACCAGTTGCCATTTACTTGAAAAGACAGCTACGATAGACTATTAGAGGCTGCCTTTGAAGTGAAGCTGGAAGGAGCAGGTGACTTACAGTGAACTGTGATGGCTGTTGAAGCAATCATGCTTTTTTTGTCTATCAGGGAGCATTTGTAGTCTCCTGTTGCGTTGCGCCTGACATCTGTCAATGTGTAAGTATTTGAGCTTCTTATTCCTTCGAGCTGTCCCTTTAGACAGAGGCAAAATGTCAGACAATTACACTCGGTAGGAGTAACAGTGAGAACAATTGTATTTCTTGATGAAGATAGTGTTTTCTCAGCTAAGGAAAAAAGGTAATGTGCTGCATTGATTGGACAAAAGGAGAACACAGTTTGTTATCAACAAATGATTCATAGAGAAGTAACTAGAATTTTGGTTCTAAGGAATTTGAGGAGCTAATTTGTATTGTATTGATGACGTCTATTTTATTGACAGCATGGCTTCTGTTCGAGTTTTAAAGGAGATTTCTTTTAAACGGTCAATATTTTATTTTTATATTCATGCCTTGCCTAATTTGACAAAAAGATTTGAGGCAGCTTAAATTTCTTTCTTTAAAAGAAAATATACCATATATCTAAACAAAAAGGAAATATAATAAGGAAGGAAACAAAGGAAGAAAGGAGAAGAGTGAAAAAGAGAGAAAGGGAGAAAGAAAAAGAGGAGGAAATAAAGAGAAAGAGAAAAAAAAAAACAACAAATTTAGATTAAGGAAAATAGAAGTAGGAGTATGTTTTAATAAAAGAGATAACCAGGGGACACTATTGCTAAAGGTGATATGCAAATTTGGCTCTCTCATCCCCATAGCCAAGTGAAAACCTAATTAGTTAGTTTCAAAATTTCCTTTTGCAAATGAGACAAAAACAGCATGTCAATTTATTAGCAAAAATGGAGTTTTCTGTAACTAAGTCTAATAGAAATTATTTATTCTACTCTTCTGAATAACGTGGTGAAGGACATTCTTAAATTTTGCCGAGACATTCAGTGGATGAAAATCGTAAACACATTCTTGCAGTAGACGCAGAATTGAGTTGTCTATGGGCTTCGCTCAAGGTGACGGTCACATCAAATACCAAGCCACAGAAGAACACAACGAGTATCCTCAGACAGAACTCTCTCCTCATGTGGCTCCATATTATGACATCCAGAACATATCCTAGAGGAATTTTCCCAAGCGTCCTCCATGCATATCATTACTTTTAGTGAGGATTCGGATAAAAGTTGAGACACTGGTGCTTCAAAATTATAAAAGACAAGAAAGAGCCCCTGACATTCATTATCCCATCTAGCAAAAGACAAAGTGTGACAGGACGATTTCGACTTCAGAGGATCAGACACGCGCTCTGTAGGTAGATTCAGAATCCGCATCCCACCATGCACTGTCCTCCGCTTTCATTTTTATGTTATCCGATTCTGAAGGGCAGATGCTTAGAGCTTATTTGAATAATCAAGCACTTATGGTTTCTTCTGGGGATGTTTTCTGTTTGCTGGTTTTTGTTTTTGCTTTTCTCTTTGCCTTGAAATCTCTCAACAACAACAACAAAAAAAAGGCAAGAAAATTGGCAGGAAAAAGCCAAGAAAACTTTCACAAGAGATTCCCTAGGAAGTGGGTTTTTCTCCCACTTACTCAACCCACGTATGCACAATTCTTACATCACCCAAAAGTCAGCCAACAGGACAAAATGATCGTAGTTGAGCTCTAGGAATACTTAAGCACTTACCGGCAAGTAAAACAAAAACTCCTCAGGAGGAGGGTTGCCATTTCCTAAGCACTTCAGAGTGATGTTGTCCCCTTCTTTGATGGCGGTTTTTGGTGGGAGCACTTGTATTGTCACCTGCTCAGTAGGATCTGCAAGAGTCCCAGACACAGTTAGCTACTTTATTAAGCACCAGATTCCTCTGTGCATACAATGTCAATGACCAAATTACACACAATTTTCTCGAGAAGTTAGGAATGGTAATTACTTAAATGTATCTTTTTGGAGAAAGATTGAAGTTAACAGCCACTCGCTACATCAAGTCCTATTCTTCGTTAGAGCAAACCTAGAGCAAACCGTAAGGAAACCCTGTTGCATAAAAATCAATTTCTTCTTGGAAAATGTGTTTAACTGAGGTAGGAGTAACCATAATTATTTTATGTGTAAAAGACCAGTAGGAAAAATCTCATGGCATGATTTTATTATGAGGAAATGAAGTATCTTATATGCATCTTAAAGTTTGCAAAGACCAAGTCAGCCAGTAAAGTAGCTAAAGCTCTGAGACACCGTTGTATTTGTACTACGTAATTATATCTTATATTAGATTTTAGAGATAGACTTGAGTTAAACAAGACCAGCAAAGATTTGGCATGAGGGAGAGTAGATCTACTCTAAAAAGACAAACCTTATGAACAGAGGGAGACCCTGAACACAGACAATGGGATTTCAGATGTATTGTAATTTTGTCCTGTTCACTGGAGCCAAGATGCATCTTTTCATTCCGTTCTGCTCATATTTATGGAGACAATAGGGCTAAAGGGTATTCTTTAGGACAGAGTCCGGCTCGACAGTAGAATGCTAAAGAAATTAAAGGCTGGGTACAGTGAACCACAACTAGCAAATAGGAAATAAATGGGGGGGTGGTGGCAGTTATAAATGACCCACTTCCTAACTTATCCATCTGTTGAATAGCAGAATGATATGATGAACCATGAATTTTGAAATCATATGATGCAAAGGGTCTTTTTTTTGAGTGAACATTTTCCACAAGACTTAATACCTATTGAAATATATGTCTGTTTCAAACAAGTGGCAGCAAGAATTATCTACAAAGAACTTTGTTGTTGTTAGCTAATGCAGTGAAACAAATAAAGGGGTAGTTTGGAGGGCTTTTTTTTATATCTCTTGTGGTCACTTATTTATTTTTCTACAATTAAAGTGCAGAATAAAACCTTAGGAGGGTTATTGTAAATTGCTTCTCTGCCTTTTCTCTAGGAAAAGGCATCTCTGAGTATTTGCCCAGAGCATTCTGAGGCTAAACAGCGGTTTGGTTTAATAAACTTCTACTTTGTTTTCTAGATTTGCCTGAGGTAGTTTCCCAAGCAGCAGCTCCTAGTAAAGTCGGAACGTGAGTCAAGTCTGATTCTGGGGCTCCACGGACCTTCCATTTCCGGCCTCTCTCACTCCCTTACCTGGTCCTCCTCTAACACGCAGGTTTGATCACGTCATGTCACACGTCTCTGATCAAGGCTGCCACCATGACACATGACAGCCAGGGATCCAGTCTGTCTGACTTCCTATATTTCAAAACTCCCCTTCCCTACATTGCTTTTTTCAAGAGGCTCCTATTTAACTAAAGAACTAAACTGTCACCAAAGAGTTAATGTACCACGTGTGTTTTGAAGCACCCCCAGGATCCCCTGCTCTCCCTCGCTTCTGGCTTTGGAGTTTACTCGGCCTGTAGCTACCCTCTCACTGTGCCCGTTACTCCGGCCTTCTTTGTCTTCTCCTATCCACTTAATCACTAAGTCTTGACAATCAGTACTTCACAGTACATTTTGCATCTGATTCTCACTTCTGTTCCCACTATCACCTCTCTAGCCTGTGCCCAAATCAACCTCCACCTGCCATCACATTTCATTTGATTCCTCACCTTGAGTCTCCCTACTTTCTGTTCCTTTATTTATTTATTTATTATGCAGTTTTTGGCTGGGGCCGGGTTTGAATCCACCACCTCCGGTAGGTATATGGGGCTGGCGCCCTACTCCTTTAAGCCACAGGCGCTGCCCTTTCTATTCCTTTATAAATATATTTCCTTTGATTTATTTTCCTGAAGGAGTGCTTGGAATATTAAAATTATATTCAAAATCCTTCAAACATTCTTAATACATAAAGATTCCAAATAAAAACAATTTGAAAATTGGTATCTATAGCTTGGCTTGAACCTAGCGTAAGTGATCTTATAGTTCACTACTCTACACAATCCGTACTCTACATAATAACCAAGAGTCTACTCAAATTTCCTTCCTTCCATCTGTCCATTTATCCTTCTGTACAGTCATTTATCCATTTGTTTAGCATCTATTTTGTGCAAGCAGCAAGTGCTGGAATTACAAAGTTGAAAACAGCTTATTTCCTGCCTCGATGAACCTATTTATGAAGGCACTAAAGTTGTCACTGAGAAATTTTAATCACAGCAATAAAACGCTGTCACGTTTGTGCTTTAGAAAAATATTTCTGCCAGCAGCTTGAGGGGCAGTTTGTTTGGGGATGAGCAGATAGGAGGAATAATATTTCGGAATTCACTAAAGAAAGACAGGCAGTAAGAAATGAGGTCATAAACTTAGGCAGCGCCGGAAGGCAGAAAACAGATGAACACAAAATTAAAGAGTTAGATTTTCAAAAACTTCATTACTGATTGAATGCGGTGAGGAGGGAACAGATTAGTGTGCACTGTTTTCAAGTTTTCTCAAGATAAACTTATCTTCTATTTTTCTTGAATTTACTCTCTGTACTTTCCATTGAACTCTCTCCCTCTCTTAAAGTCTTCCTAGAGCAACGCTGCCACAAGTGTGGTGCTCAGACAAGCAGCTTTAGCATCACTGGGAAATTTGTCATAAATGTACAGAATCAAACAACTCTTCACACCGACTGGATCAGGAACTCAAGGGAGAGGGCCAGCACTTCGTGTCCTACTCAGTCCTTCATGGTTTTCTGATGTGCAATAGAATTTGAGGATCCCTCTCATAGAGCACCTGATCTTTCAGACTCTACAGAGTCCCTGAGGCACTTGCCACTTTCATCGACTTTCCCTTCTAAGTATCTTGTTTTTCAGCAAACTCCTTGAACATCAGGACCAGGTCAAACCTCTTTGTGTCTTCACCCTGAATCCCAGCACTACACACCTTGTGCTTTCTCAAAAGCCATGGCAAGTGGACCTTGCACGGCCAGCACGGTCACATTGTTTCATAAACATTCAAGGATCGATTTCTCTGCCTACCCACCTCCACACGTCAGCCACTCACACATACTCTTGCTTTTTCCCATGTCAATTCCACAATTCTTTTGGCTTGTCTTATAGCCCTGCACTTACACTGACATGGTTTATTTCCAATTGAATATATTGAACAGAAAGATTTCCACGTTCTATTTTTACTTAAAGAAATAACATTTTGATGTTAGATAAGTTATACATGATGAAATATTCTAATTTCTTACTTCCCCCCACACTTTTTTTAGTTTCAGGTTCATGTGAGAGTACAAACAACTAGGTTATAATATTTGCATTTTTTAAAATTTTTTTGGGTTATTATTTATTTATTTATTTTGGCTGGGGCTGGGTTTGAACCCACCACCTCTGGCATATGGTGCTGGCGCCCTACTCCTTTGAGCCACAGGTGCCACCCGATATTTGCATTTGTTAGGTAGAGTTTCTCCAATAGTTGTGTCCCACACCCAAGAGGTGTGCCATAGACCCTTACAGTGTGCCAATTATGTGGGAACACACCAATCCTCTCACCTCCCCCTTCTCTCTTCCTTGTTCCTCCTCCCCACAACTTGAATTGAATTGAGTTTTTCTCTTATGTGGATGTGCATTATTAGATCGTCTACTGGCTTCATATTAGTCATGCATATGTGGGATATTTAGTTTTCCATTCTTCTGATACTTTACTGAGGAGAATGTCTTTCATCTCCATCCAGGTTAATACAAAAGATGTAAAGTCACCAACTTTTTATGGCTGAACAGTACTCCATGGTGTACATATACCACAGTTAGTTAATCCATTATGAGGTTGATCGTCATGTACACTGTTTCCACATCCTGGCAATTGTAAATTGAGCTGGGTGATAAATAATCTAGTGCATGTTTTTTTCTTCTTGGTAGATGCCTAGTAATGGGATTGAGGAATCACATAGGAGGTTTACTTTGAGTTCTTTGAGGATTCTCTATACTTCTTTTCAAAGAGGCTGTATTAGTTGGCAGTCCCATCAACTGTGAAAAATTGTTTC